TTGTATCACAAAACCATTATTATCTCCATAAAACAAAATTTCTTACAATGTAAAAATGAATTCTGCTTTAAATAAACTGCAAATGGTTGATAAGCTGTAACAAATCAATCAATCCAGAATTTATACTGGTAGCTATCCGTCTGCATAGAGACAAAATATATTCAGTAAATACACAAAAATAGAAAGGGGCATAAGACAAGAATGTGTCTTCTTAAACCTTTATAATGAGGTGATCCTGAGAGGACTAGAAGTCCTGCTAGGATTTATTACCAGGGGCCATAAATTTTAACAACATAAGATCATAGATATAGAAAGGAAACTGCAGGAATTCCCAGAGAAGGGACTAAAAGAAAGTGAGAAGAAAGGACTAACCATCAATTGTCAGAAGACAGAATGTATGTTTGTCAGTTAGATAGACAGCTCCTGAGTCAAACTATGAACTTGAGGTAGTAAATGAAAAGTATAACCATCTGTATTGTGTACATTTATTTTTCCTGTTTTTATTTTAAAAAACAAAACAAGCCTAAAATTCTACTGCCACTAACTACTATGGTGTGAGTGAATACTCCATGGTCTCTTCAGCACAGATTGCTGTTCTTAATTATCTGTGAATTGCCATGTATTCCTGGGAAAGATAGTGGAGTAATGTCAAGTTGCCTTCTCTATGGTTTGGAATTCAGAATTGTCTTCTCTTAGAGAGTCTATCCTGGTATTTAATCTATAGCTGGGAGAATATGGATTCATGCCTTTGTTAAGTTTTGGATTAGTTTTTTTGCATTCGCTTTTACACTAATAGTGCAAAAGGGGATGCAACAAACTAGACCAGAATTTGAACTTGCCTCATGCATTTTATTTTCCATGCCAAAATCCATTATGCTACCTGCACATAAATATAGATATGGATATTAAATTATCTATAGAGAGAAAAATATAGGTAAGTTAATACAACACTGAGTTAGTTCATAACAAGTCTAATATCTACCATCAACCAGAAGATTTTTTTGTAATTCTCTTTTAGTAATATATATTTACTTTTCATTACAATGACGTTAGATGTCAGGATATTATGTATAAAGAAAACAAGTACTACTTGCAACATGACTGAAATACCATTCTTTAGTATACTCTGAAGCAGATTTTTATCATAAAAATTACAATAGTGAACAAAAGATTACAAGGGCAGATAAATCAGTAAAGACTATCTAACATAATTCAGTGGATTAAATTAGGTTAGGTTGGTTTATGGTATGAAGAGATGAAGGTTGCGCTAATACATAAGTAAAGGCCAAATTTACTACCTATAGTATCATTTTATTGCTGACTCCATTTGGTTACAGTAATTAGAGTGGGTGACTATAGTCATGGTCCTTTTGTGATTTGAGAGTTCATACAGAGTTGTGTTTTTGGCTGACAGAAATTAATTTGTTGAATTCATCCTTTCTTCTTCTTTTTCTTCTGGAGTTGCACATCTGGTCAAACGCATAGCTGAGAAATCTTCAACCTTTGTGTCTCAAACTGCTACATTGAAACAATCTCCCACTTCTTCTGCTGTACACGTGTTTTTTTTTTCTTATTGGGCCTGACACATCCGTGTTTTCTGTTTGATTTTTGACAGGACGTGTTGTCATTGGCTGATTTTTTTTATGACGTTCACTGACCCATGTAAGCTATATCCGGGTTCTGTCAGTTACCGAGGATAAGAACAACAGAAGGAGGGAAAGGAAGTATGTATAATAGAGAAGAGAGAGAGAGAGAGTTTTCTTTGTCATTCTCTTAGTGAAAATGTAAGTGTATATTTCCATATGGTGTTACTACTACCTAATCCTACTATAGGTTCATGTTGTGACATATTAATCTTTATCAGGTTATTTAATGTCAAAATCAGATTTCTATTTTATATTTAAGTTTATAATCATTTACTTGGTTCAAAAATAGGTAAATATTGACCATTCATATTTAAATCTGGAAGCATTTACTTGGTTCAGGTATAGAACTTGTATATATATGAGCCTTTGCTAAAGATGTTGGAAAAAGGGTCAGTTCTCTGTACCACTCCAGTAAGTACCAGACCCCTCCTGCTATTCTCTACTTTTATAAGACCCAGATAAGATAAAAAAAATAGAGTACTGCTACCATATATGGGCTGAAGCTGCCCAGTCTTCACTTTCCAGTCTCAATAGAGTCCAAAAGCCTCTCTGTATCTGACAAATTATTTTTCACCCTGCAAACCTTTTCTAATAGACAAAACATTGCAAGCCTCTCACTGCTCTATCACTATTTCCATGGAAAGTGTTCATACAAACTACATCCTCTAGTTTCAGCAGTTTCTTCCCACAAAGCACTGTTTTGTAGAAGTGACTCCCAAGAGGATGCTTCCATTGTCACTAATCTATTCAAGTCTAGTGTCAAATGTTATCTTCCTCACTGGGCCTCTTACTTTGTAACCATCTATCTTGAGTGGCTCTTGGGCCTTGTACAGGATAAACATCATTGTATAAAAAAAAAAAAAAAAGTAAATATGGGTCATTTATATTTGAGTCTATAAGTATTTACTAGGTAGATGGTCCTAGTTAGGGAGTCTTACTCCTCTGTGGTTGATGCAGTCAGCATATTCTAGTCCTACCCAACAAAGCAAAATTGTTAAAAAATAAGCAACCTTTACTTGTAGATCATTTATTAATGTCGGATGTTTGCACCTCATTGAGTATCTCACCAATTTTTGGGCACTTCATTTTAGAAAAGTACTTAGCAAGTAAATATCCTGACATGATTTCAATCCTCAGCAGGTGCCTTACACTTATGGTAAGATAAGCTTAATAAATACTTATATACTTTGTTTGCCTAACCATCAAACAGTGGTCAACAAGCAAGTATAAGATATTACTTTTATAGGTTACTCTTCATTGGCTTATGTCCACATCATGTTGAAATAATGTTTCCCCATACAATCACTGGAGTTAAGCAATGTTGAGCCTGGTTAGACGGTGACCACTTGGAAATACCAGGTGCTGTAAGCTTGGATGTGTGGGTGGTTTTATGAATAATGGCTTGGAATTGTTAATCAGAGAGCTGAGTTCCAAATCCAGTTGTGTTCATTATATTCACTTATGCACACTTACCCTTGAGAAAGGTACAAATCCACCTCTTCTCCCCTAGCAATAAGTTAATTAGTAAGATTTGTATCACTAAATCATTATTATCTCAAAAAATAAAAATTCTTACAATCTAAAAACATTTTCTGGCTTTAAATAACCTGCAAAGAGTTGATAAGAATACAAATTATTATAATCAATGAAAAACTCTTCAATGGATTGGATAGCATACAGGCTTGTAAAAAAATAAGCTATGTAAATAATTTGGGGATGTTTCACTGTTAAACAATTGTTAACCAGCTTGCCTTCTACATCATTACTTCTCTTATAAATTTGATACGGATTACTCCAAAACTAGTGGCCTTGCGCCAAACTAGTAAATACTTTTTTTTACCTAGTAACTTTCCAGAGACAGTGACCCAAGAGAAGGTTATACGATTTTCATCTGTTCAAACAATCTTTCTCAGTTCAATGATTTATCAGGAACAATTAATATTAGGAAATCAATTTTTGTCCCAGGCCAGGATGTCCGCATTGACAAAGAATCGAGAATAATTTGAGTTGAATTATTTCTGTTCAAAGTCCCAATTGGATGCCAATGCAATTTACAATGAAAATGGAAATAATGCTGTGATTATAAAATTTCAGTTTAAGTCACAGGCAATCGATCCCGAGCACGAAATAAAATAAACAAATTGAAATATATGATTAATTATTTGCGTCAGTGCATATTACAAAAAACAAACAAAACAACAGTTATTCAACAGACGCCTCGTCGTAGAGACTAGTAATGATTGATAATCTACTAGTCTTTCCGACTACTGTTTAGTCTTGTGTAAATGAGTTCGATTCTTACAGAGTACTTCTACTTGCGATCATTTTCTTTTAAAGCAAAACAAAAAAAAGTCTTGGATCTTTTCTGTAGGTATTAGGTAGTGAAACATCAGCAAAGCAATATCGGTATCACCAGCCAGTTTTAGCTAAATTTGATCAGGCCTAAAGTTTTTTTTTTTTTTAGACAAGCAAAAAGAGTTGTGGCCTATTTTGTGATTAAGTGAATTATGTATTTTCCGTTGGTGTCATAGGTCGATGTTTTAAAATTTTAATCCAAGTAAATTTCAAATACTACCTTGTTCCAAGGTAGGCCTCACCCTTCTTAATTAACTGAAAGATTGGAGAAACACGATCTTACTTACATCCTTCCCTATCGCCCTTTTGTTTTGTGCTGTACTAGGGCTTAAGGTAGAGAAGACAATGTTAAATTAAAAAAAAACTACTTTATCTACCAAACTGGTAACTAAACAACTGCTAAACAGGCAAGCTATCCTGCAGTCTCTATACTTTTTAGTTTTTAGCAGCAGTAGCAAAGGCTTTCTAGTAGCCGTAGTGTAGTCATGTAGCAGAAGTCTGAGGAACAACAGTAGCAGTAGTAGGGGGGAGAAGGAGGAGGAGATCATTTGAAAGAAGGTAAAAGAGGCAGTGTGAACTTCCGACTTCCGTATTACGACAACGACTACGCCTGAATAGAGAAAGAGAGAAATGATGAGTCGGTGATGACGATGGTGTTTGTCTGGGATGGAGGCCTGACACTCCGCTAGCCACCCAGCCAGACACCCTCCCAGCAAGTGCCCGTGGTGTGTGCATGTGTTTTCCTGTGTGCGTCTCTCTCTATACACATATAAACATAAATATTATGTTTGTATTTATTTATTTATGAATGCTTGCGTGTAATTCGAAAGTTGTGGCGTGTTTGGAGGTTGGGTGGTGTTGGCGCCGGTGACCAAAAGTGTAGTGTTTCTTTTTTTTTTTTTTCTGAGACGGGGGTAAGCGTGGTGCAAAGCAACAGGGAGACATAAAAGAAAACATCTAGGAATCATCAACCACCCCCGCTACAAGGGATACGCCAAAATGTACCCGTTATTCGACTTGGTGAGGCTACTCTCTGTCCAGCAGGATACAGAATCATTAGCCGAAAGGCACCCGTATATCGTCCAGTTTGCTTGGCGTCAGGTCGAAGATCTTAGTTTGCTTGCTCTTATCTGTTCTAATGGTAAGTGTGTGTGTACTATCTATCTATCTATCTATCTATCTATCTATCTATCTATATATATATATATATATATATAATAATTTACCTTTACTACACATAAAAATCCACATCTTTTTTGACACAGTCACTACACTACACACAAATACACACAGTATCCCATCTGGAGGAAAAATATTTTCACATATATTTGAGATCGTACACTAATTCATTCTTCATTCGTATTTATTTCGATTCATTTTTAATTTAATTTAATCTTCATTATTGTTATTAATGTTATCCTTGACTTTTTAAAGCACTGAAATTAATTTTTTTTATTAACTTCAATAAATAATTGCTTGCTTACTTATGTTTTATTTTTATCAGAAACATTGTAACGATTTTTATTTAATTTTTTTTTTAATATATCTCTATACTAGTTAAATCACTAAATAAAATGTAAGTCCTGAAACATTTAACAGACAATAAATTACAATCGTTTTTAATTTTACCCTTTCAGAGCCCAGCAATCAAAATATCAGATAATAATATTTATTTACTAAATTGGTTGTAATTGTAATTCATTCGTTTTCCTTACGTGTAGTAAAAACAAATCATTTACAAAGGAAATATTTTTGTGTATATGGCAAAACTTTTCTTTTAGGGCTTGGAGAAATTAGCATTCTCTTAAAAAAGACTTAAAATTAAATGAAAAACTAAGTTTTTAAAATTAGTTACTAATTAATTAGATTTTACTTTCTCAGTCATTGAAGTTATTTTTTTATGTTATAAAAAATAAAAAAACATTATTTTTTATTTTATTTTTTTTTTTTTTTCATATTTCGCAATTTATTAATCGTTTAAAAACTTATACGATTTTTTTTTTACACAACAACACGTTTTGAAAGCGAAAAACTGGATTCGTAGTAGTAGTTGTAATTTTTGTTCATTCATTCATTTTTACCGATGATAGCAGCTGCTTCCGTGCTTATTGACAATGACTCAGTCAATTTGATTTTGTTTTTATTTTCTGTTTTCATTTTTATTTGGATTTTCATTATTATTCTTATATAATTGCACACATGCCAATTCCATCTACTACTAGAAATATGCATGTCTCACTCATCAAAATTTCCTCTGTGATTACTTTTATTGTTTGTTACCCAGGGTAGTATTATTATATTTCTCTCTCGCAGTCTATAATTTTGACAACAAAAGCTTTTTAAAACTTAAAAGGAGTACTTTTTATTTAAACCTTTTTTTTTTTTTTTTACGCTGTCATTTTTTAAATTAAATATTTCAATTTGAGATTTTGCAGATTTCTATTATTATTTTTTTAAGGCATCAATTGTAAATTTTTATTACTAAGACTTAAAAGTAACAATTGTTTCGTTTTCACCACGAAAACCATCAACGATTTATAAATACTACTACCCTTCTTACTTAATTAGCTACCCATTGGTAGTTGTAGTAATTTAATTGGTAGATTTATTTTATTTATTTTTATTTTTTGACTTGGTTATCCTTTTAATTAAATTTATTCATCACATTTTTTTTTTACTTTTTAGTTATGATTTTAATTTTTAAATAAAAAAAAGAGACCCCTTTTTTAAAATTTTTTAAGGCCGTTTTGCTTTCTACACTGGCTCCATGTGTCCAACCTCGAATAATTGTTTCTGCTCAAAGCCCTTAATTTCTTGTCTCTTTCTTTTATAATTAACTGTTTGACTTTTTTCTCTGTTTTAAAGTCTTAGCCCCCCACAATTTTTTTTTTTTAAGTACACTCTCTCCTCTTTGAAGCCCTCGTACACACTCTACAAAATCTGTATATAATATATATTTTCCAACAATCGGATAAAAACCAAATCTTTTTTTTTATATTCCTCACACACGTTGTCGTATTGTGTTTATTAATTACATCATCGTCTTGAATATTGCACGGTTTATTTACAATCGTTCTTCTTTTTGCCAATGACTCCATTTTTTTTCTTTTTAGGGGGCAAATTTCATTTGATTTCTAAAAAGAACAGGGAATAAATAAATAACATTTTTGTTTTGTATCTTCATATTTATCTGTTTTTATTATATATATATTTTTTATTTCTTTATCTCACACGGAATAACAATATAGCCTTCCCTTGATTGATAATAAATGCGTTATGTTCGATTTGGGTCCTTTTTTTTTTAAATTTTTTTTTAATTAATTAATTTTTTTTTAGGTTCAAAATCGGAAATCATACTATTATTGTTATTGTTGTATATACGTATTTTTACAAATAGAAATCATAGGACTTTTAATGCATCACAAATAATTAATTTTAATTTTTTTTTTTTAAATACTTGTTTGTTTGTCCTGAAAAAAAAATTAAGAATCTGCGGACTTTGTTTATTTACATTTTTTTTTTTTTTTTTTTAACCAAAATTTATTTGAGGTCTCTTCTAGTGCTGCATAATGAGATTGCTTTTTTGCCAGAAGTAATTAATTGGCTAATTAATAGCCTACTAATTTAATTATGACAGGCAACAAAACGCTTATTACTAATTTTATTTTTAACTTTGTTTGTCGTTTAAAACAAAATATTATTTTTTGCATCCTATAGCAAATTGTAAAAAAAAATCAGTAAAGTAAAAACAAAACACTAATTAATTAGTGTGTTGTGAGTAAATTAGTTAAAAATAAAGAAAAACTTTGTTAATTTTTTATACTTTTTAACTTTGCATTGTTGGCTATCCAGAGATAAATCTTGCATTGTAGGTGAGATTCATTTATAAACAATGATAGGCAAAGTATTTGCTTATTGGAAATATTAAATTTAATGATTAGCAATTAGCTAAAATTTAAATTAAAAGCTTTAAGAAAGATTTTCCATTTTTAAAAATTCATTAAAACTCAGTTATCGCGAATGTGTACAGAGTTCAATTGTAAGGAAAAGTTACAGAACTCCTTTTTAAATTTATTTACTATATAATTGCTAATTATTAAACCGAATTTTTTTTTCTGATTATGATGTAATTGAGGAAGATTAAAATAAAAGCCATTAAAAAAAAAAAAAAGCCCCCTTTTTTCTTTTCTTTTTTCTTAAAAAAAAAAAGAATAAAAAAAGGAATATTATGATGATTCTTACTATTGACTAAAAAAAACAAAGACAAACCAAAAATAACTTGTTTAAAATTGATTTGGGGGATTTCCGTTCAGTTTTTTTTGCATTGCACAGTGTACAAGAAGAATAAATGAAAACAAATATATTATTCACAATTCACTTCTTTCAATTGTATTTAGAATTTTTGTCCTACATAAAAATTATATAAGTTTTTTTGCAGTTTTCAAGAATAATTTTATCATTCCCAAGAGTTTTACCATTAACAAGATAAAAAATAATTTTTAATCATTGAATACAACTGATCCTTATATTTTTCAAAACTTCATTTAAAAGAGTTTTTAGATATTTTAAAGAAATTTGGGCCCAGTTAACAAAATTAACAAAAAAATTCAATCCTTAAAATATTCAGTTGATGAATCTTGTTGCTTTCTATAAATGTATGCATTAGTGAAGCTTTTTAAATGTAATAATTTAAACGTGGATTGATGTTCCGAAAGCTGTCTCCGAAGATTTCAAGTTTACAGAAATAAAGAACATAGGTGTTAGGATGTTTTTGAAGGTGAAAGATTTGAAGAAAAAAAAAGGGTTTTAATTGTTTAGCAGACTGCTTTCAATTTAATTTGCAGCTGAGTGTAATGGATAATGTCTCAGAATGAGCAAAATATATGCAAATACACTTGGGGGAAGGTATAAATCCATCTCTTCTCCCCCAGGCTATGAGTTAAATAGCAGAACAGACCAAGACTGAAAGCCTTGGTGAGAAACCAGTCTACTGCAAAAAGTAATGGCAGCCTACTGTGTGAATTTTTCTGCCAAGTTGGTCAAAAATTGAAAGCAAACATGATCGCTAGGCACCTGAGCATGGCTGTTTAAAACGCTTATTTTTGTCATATAGGAAAATCCATGGTGTGTAAATGAAATATTTGGCGAAAAATCCCATTCGTCAGTAACATTTTAAACACCTCATAGAATGTAAAGTTCTTAAAGCAAACCTGTGCCAAACTGTTTTCCTGAATCCTTGATGACTTGGCTGTCCGAAAATGATAACATCAAGATGAAATAATGGAAACAGACCATGAAAAGCACAATTATGCACAACAAGTTTTCAATCAATCAGTAAACTTCTGAACCTTTTTGGGCGACATTATAGGATCCCGACAGCTATTGTTTGTACATGAAATTATTCACTGAAAATGTCACTTGGTGGTTAGCATTAAGAAATTATGCCCAATTTTCTGAGAAAAATCACTTTTTTTTATGAAAAAATATTTATATTCACTTCAAAATAATATCATTCAAACTTCATCCGTTTCTCCTTAATTTGGCGTGAAAATCATTAAATAAAAGGAACAGCTAAATGGCCCAGCAAGGGGAAATATGAAAGACATGTGGCGAAAAAAAAACAATCTTGTCTGCTAAGTGTTGTTGTCATCACCTGGGTCAAGGGTTGTTAAAAACAAAACACATCAAGCCATTGTTCAAACATAGGTTTGAAAAAAAAAACAAAAAAAACAAACAAACAAACCTTATATCAAGCCCTTCCAATGTTGACCCTCTTTTTTCACTCTTTGCTCTTATCTGGGAGTGGTGGGTTTTATTACAAGCTGATGACAACTTGTTCTAAATGTTTATTGCTGGCTGGCTGAATTTTGACCCAGACATGTCAAAGTCAATTTGGCTTAATTTTACTTTTGGTTTCTGGTGGTCAAGAATTGCACATAAATCTTTCACCTTTTACTAAAGATTTCCATTGACGGGTGTCAATCTTTTTCACCTCTGGCAGTCATAGAATTGAAAATTACCAATGGACTTTTTCACATTTTGACCTCCTAGATATGTTGATTTACTTCAAAACTCTCAATTTTATGCCTGGACTAGTTTGATTATCATTTAGGCTTTCTGATTTTCAAAAAATGGTTAATT